AAAAAACAGCAACGTCCAGGGGAAGCTTAATCTTTAATTTATCCTCCCGAGTCCCAGTGGCAGAGGGAGGAAGCAGATGTTTAGCGCCTTTGCTATCCGCTACGGCGGCGGCGTGAAGACGATGCAAAAGCTCGGGTTTATCAGAGGCCGCGATCTGATGAAGGCATGCGAGGCATGCTCGTCCGCCCCCTGCCTCTGTAAATCTTGTCTACCATGAACCAACCCCGTGTGTAGGGTGACCTTGCTTAAAGAGGAGGGTGGCGGGTGGAAGTGGGGGGCACAACACGTCCAGTGTTAAAGGTGCAGCCCTGCAGCTGCTTTTGTTGGGGTGCCACGGTGGCTAGGAGATGTTAACTACCTCGCTCGGTAGACAGGAGGTCGTGGGTTCGATCCAGACGCTGATGCCCCCTGTATATTGGAGTTTGCGTGTCTCTCTCTCATCATCATCATCATCACGGTGGCTAGGAGATGTTAACTACCTCGCTCGGTAGACAGGAGGTCGTGGGTTCGATCCAGACGCTGATGCCCCCTGTATATTGGAGTTTGCGTGTCTCTCTCTCTCATCATCCTCATCACGGTGGCTAGGAGATGTTAACTTCCTCGCTCGGTAGACAGGAGGTCGTGGGTTCGATCCAGACGCTGATGCCCCCTGTATATTGGAGTTTGCGTGTCTCTCTCTCATCATCATCATCACGGTGGCTAGGAGATGTTAACTTCCTCGCTCGATAGACAGGAGGTCGTGGGTTCGATCCAGACGCTGATGCCCCCTGTATATTGGAGTTTGCGTGTCTCTCTCTCATCATCATCATCACGGTGGCTAGGAGATGTTAACTACCTCGCTCGGTAGACAGGAGGTCGTGGGTTCGATCCAGACGCTGATGCCCCCTGTATATTGGAGTTTGCGTGTCTCTCTCTCATCATCATCATGGTGGCTAGGAGATGTTAACTACCTCGCTCGGTAGACAGGAGGTCGTGGGTTCGATCCAGACGCTGATGCCCCCTGTATATTGGAGTTTGCGTGTCTCTCTCTCATTATCATCATCACGGTGGCTAGGAGATGTTAACTACCTCGCTCGGTAGACAGGAGGTCGTGGGTTCGATCCAGACGCTGATGCCCCCTATATATTGGAGTTTGCGTGTCTCTCTCTCATCATCATCATCATCACGGTGGCTAGGAGATGTTAACTACCTCGCTCGGTAGACAGGAGGTCGTGGGTTCGATCCAGACGCTGATGCCCCCTGTATATTGGAGTTTGCGTGTCTCTCTCTCATCATCATCATGGTGGCTAGGAGATGTTAACTACCTCGCTCGGTAGACAGGAGGTCGTGGGTTCGATCCAGACGCTGATGCCCCCTGTATATTGGAGTTTGCGTGTCTCTCTCTCATCATCATCATCACGGTGGCTAGGAGATGTTAACTACCTTGCCTGATATACAGGAGATCGTGGGTTTGATCCCAACCCTGACGCCTGCTGCTGTATATTGGGAGTTTGCGTGTCTCTCTCTCATCATCATCACGGTGGCTAGGAGATGTTAACTACCTCGCCAGGTGTACAGGAGAGCGTGGGTTTGATCCCAACCCTGACGCCTGCTGCTGTATATTTGGAGTTTGCGTCTCTCTCTCTCTCATCATCATCACGGTGGCTAGGAGATGTTAACTACCTCGCCAGGTGTACAGGAGAGCGTGGGTTTGATCCCAACCCTGACGCCTGCTGCTGTATATTTGGAGTCTGCGTGTCTCTCTACCCACCCGTGGTGTCGTGGATTATTCTCTGGAGTGTCCGGTTTTACCCTACACATTTAGAATGAACATTAATTTAGAGTATTTGCCTGCAATACATTTGCACGTGATAAGCCACTTCGTTGAGCTATTATTTGTGGCCAGGTCGCCTCTGGAAAAGAACTATATAGCTCAGTGGGTCCTTACCTGGTAAAATAAAAAAAATAGTTAAGTTTACATAGTTTTGAACTGCTTCTTTCTTCGTGTGGCTGCTGATGTAGATGGAGAACCAACAACTTAAATTTCACATTCAGGTGGTCAAACCATACAACCGCATGAGTAGTGGAGGGAGTAGCGGGGTTGTGTATCGCTGCGATGTCTCCTTCATATCCGTGGATCCCGGGGCATTGCATCGTTGTACGTTGCACGGTTGCGCTGAATTCTATTTGCTCCATCGATTAACTTTATTTCTATGAAATTGATTATTATTCATTTATAATGTATTCATGTTATTCATTCTTTATTTCTATTGATGAACTTTACTTTTTATTTCATTGCTTTCGGTCATTTTGGTGACCCACGGCACTCATTGCTGATTGAGACTTTGCGTTGCCAGCCGGTTTGAACAAAAATAAACTTAATCGTGAATTTGCTTGGCCACGTCACTGCTGGCGAAAAGGCCTCCGCTCGCGGGAGCTCTACGGAGCCCGCTCTTGAGGGCTCTTCGGCCTACTCTTCCACGAGGTTGGAGTACCCACACCTCACCCCCACGGAACCCGTTTATACCGCAACGTGGGCAGAATCTGGGTGGGAAGGGGAGAGGGGGCCTTAACAAACGCTCGCCGTTGTTTCAGCTGCTGCTGAAACCGGGAGATGGAATCGAACCGGCACACCTCTCGATGGCAAGTCCATTGGTACTGATCCCTAACGCAAAGTCAACGTTTATTGAACGTTCGACAACCGTTCATGAACGCCGATTATAATGGGCAGGCGAGACGATCTGGCTCTTTCGTCTTTGTCGTCCACGCGCTTCTGCTCGGGGCTCCAGCAACGCTGCGGCGAGCATCTGGGTTCGCGCGGATGGGCGGTGATTTTCTCAAGTCAGTCGACCCACGGCCTCCTCGGTCTGTCCCCCCCCCCTCCCCCCCCGTGACCTCCTCCTCCTCCTCCATGCCAGCATCGTGCCTCTGACAATTCACACGATCGCCTCGGCAGTGCAACCTGCCCTGGCACTCAGCGGCGCCGTGACGTCACCGCCACTATAGTGACGTCACCGCCACTATAGTAATGTCACCGTCACTATAGTGACGTCACCACAACTATAGGAATGTCACCGTCACTTTAGTGACGTCACCGCCACTATAGTGACGTCACCGCCACTATAGTGATGTCACCGCCACTATAGTGACCAACGGCGGCTATGGTTACCGTTGTTGTTATTTGCCAAACCGGGCGAGATTTTGAACACACACACCCCCCCCCTTCGCCACCACCTGTGTTCAATATTGTACCCACGTTTGTCAAGTCGACTGCTGCCTCTGGATGAAGCAAGGTGGGGCTGGAGTGGGGTGGCTAAGCCTCCCACTCCATTGCCCCCCCGCCCCGCCCCGCCCCACACACACTACGTGGCTGCCATAAACCTCACGACGACTTTTTTAGAGACTCACGTGCCCCCTCCCCCCCACCTCCCCTCTGCCCGACTTTTGCAAGGAGCAAGGCCCTCTCGCCCGCCCGCCCGCCCGCCCGCACGGGGAAAGAGGCGCGCAACGCGTATTTAATCTTGCGCGTCCGTATTGATCCCCGCGGCGGCGATGGGGGAAGCCTTGAGGGATTGTGGCGAGGGAACAGTTCGACAGTCCTCGTTCTCAGATCGCTCAACAACGCCTCCCAGGGCGAGCTCGCGACTGCCACGAGCTCACGGCGCGATTCGCAACGAGCGATTCACGTGCGTCTCGCGCGCGCGAATCGTGCGGCCAAACGGACTGTTGATGGCTATACGGCGGTGCGAGGGGGGGAGGGGGGCGATGTATGGTGCTCGCCATCGGTCGAGTTTCACTTTTATATTTGGGGGGGGGGGGGCGGCAGGAGTTCGCTTTTTCACTCACATTAGGAACCGCGGGTGAATATAATACATTTATTTTTAATATTAATTTCAAACTACTGAGGATAAATGAATAAGGGTGTCCAGTTTAGGGGGGGGGGTGGGTCGGCTTTGCACCCCCGTGCCCCCCCCCCCCCACCCATGTTGGTAGCCATGGCCACGTGGCCTGTAACCCAGCCCCGTGTGCTATGGCAGCAGAAGCAGCAGCAGGCGACGGTTGGTGGATTTTGCGCAAACGTCGCAGCGAGAAGGAGGAGGTGCCAGGTACCCTGCACTCGCCAGAAGAGGGCGGTACAGCAAAAAAATGCGTCCCCCACCTGTTCCACCTGCGTGGAATTCGCGTGTTCAAACCCCGCGCGCGGCTCTATAAGGGCGTTCTGGTTGCCTGCCGCAGGCAAACACTTAACGCAAGTGGCTGGTAACGCCCTCACACGGAGAAGACCGCAGAGCTCGGGCAATTGTCGGCGCCGGCTCGTCGCGTGGCTGCCTTGCCGCGTGTGCGTGGTTCCACACGAGTCGTTGCCGCTCTCCGCGAGGGCGAGCTAACACTGGGCGGCGGCAGCGGTCCCGCGTCGATGTGATCAATCGAGACAGAGAGCGAGAGCGAGAACCAGACAGGCGAAATTTCTCGGAGCGCGTGGACAGCTTAAACAGCAGGCCAGGCTGGAAACACGTTTACCAAACACACACACACGCACACGCACGTCATCCATAATACAGACCACTTTCATCCCTCCCCGCACCAGCTCCCACTTCACTCATCAACAGACGCCGAGCACGGCGCCGCGGTCGGACGTCCGCGGCGCCACGGACGTCCGACCGCGGCGCATTTTCGTGGCCCCCGTGATTCGCCGCACTCCGATGAGCGATCCCGGGGGTTCCGCTGAAACCTGTCCGAGCCACGCGCCGTTGCCGAACCCTTGTTCCGTTCCCGACGGGAGCGAGCGGGCGCTTGGAACGAAGACGTCGCCGATTGTTTATCTACCATCTCCCCGCGAAGGCCACGCACACACACACACACAGCGTTGCCGATGGACGCGTTGAGTTTGTGTGTGTTTTTTCTTTTTTTCCCCGTCGCTGCTTTCGGCCGGCGTTTCTACGTTTGTAGAAATAACGACGGACCCCGTCAAGGTGAACCACTCCAGGCACGGGGTGGGGGTGGGGGGGGGGGGCACTCACCGAGGTGAAGGTGCTGAGGGTGGCAGCCGCCGTGCCCGCTCTGGCGGCCCGAGCCTCGATCTGCTCGATCTGCTCGCGCTTCTGCAGCCCGGCCAGGTGCCTCTCCAGCGCCTCCCAGTCCATGGTGGGCGGCCCTGCCGACAGTGACTCATCCTCCTCCTCCTCATCCTCCTCCTCCTCATCGTCATCATCGTCATCATCATCCTGGTCGTCGTCCCGCGCGAGCCCCTGCCATGCCCGCTCTCCCGGGCCGCCCTCCTTCACGGCCGCCACGGAGGCGCCGCTCCTTCCCGAGCGGACGCCGCCGCCGCCGCCGCCGCCGCCGCTGCCGTCGCCCTCCTCGCTCGTCGTGGCCACAGATGTCGGAGGGGACGGGGAGAGCGAGGGAGAGAGCGGCGGGGGGACGATCGCCGCGGCGGCGGCGCTGGTGGAGCGGCGACCGCTCCCGGCGCGCGGCCCGGCCTGCGTGCGGCCCGGCTGCAGGTCGCCGTCGCCGCCGTCGCCGTCGCCGCCGTCGTCGCCGTTGGCCGGACGCGACAGCTCGGTCGGCGTCGCCGCGCCGCGCGACGTTGAGCCCCCCTGGAAAAACGAGGCCTGGCGCCACTCCTCGAAGACGCTCCGCGGGAACCGGCGCGCGACCGCCAGGCCCCCGCCGCGCCGGCCGTCGGCTTCATCGTCTTCGTCGTCCTCCTCCTCCTCCTCCTCCTCGTCGTCGTCGTCGTCGTCGTCGTCGTCGTCCAGGTCGGCCAGCGTCTCGAGGTCGAGGCTGGGCGAGGACTTGCAGTCGGAGCACGGAGTCACTTTGCTGGAGCCGGACTCGGAGGTGGAGCGGCTGCAGGGGTCGCTGCCGAGGTCCATGCCATCCTCGCCGGAGTCCTGCACGAGCGAGACAAAGACAAAGATCCCCCCCCCCCCGTGTAGCCTTAACAGAGTTTTGGGGCAAGTGCTTTTGTTAGCGGGCAGCTACGAAAGTCGGCGAGGCAAAACGAGGGGGTGGGGTGGCCAGCACCACGCCCGGCCGCCTTTGTCTCCCGAGTGGCGATGGTTCCACACCGCGCCAGGTACTCATTGGAAGCTGAGTCGACCGAGGAGAGGCCCAGGACCGGTTCATATCATCGTCACTGGCGTTGCCCGTAGCGGGAATCGAACCCGGGTTGCTGGGTTCGTAGCTAGCCGCGACTCTGCCGCTCGTGCACGCATGCACCATCGCCAACATCGCCATCGAGCAATCGTCAATGTCATCCCTGACGTCATCGGTATAAACATCATCATCATTAGCACTGTCACAGCCGTCGTGAACATCACCATTGTCACAATTGATATCGTAATCATTATCGCCACTCTCATCAATATCACCATCACCACCAACATCATCATCACTACTATGAATATCGCCATCATCATCATCATCATCACCACCGTTGTCATCATTGTCAGAATTGCAGCCTTCACGAGCATCTCCATTGTTACCATTAACATCATAACTGTTGTTACAGCTTTTACCAAAATCATAGCTTATCATGGTCACCATGATCCGTACTTAACTTATCTCCATGTCTGTTACCACTGCCACAATTATCATCATCGCCAGTATCATCCAGCCCCGGCACAAATCAATACCTACAGTGAGGGAAAAAGTATTTGATCCCCTGCTGATTTTGTACGTTTGCCCACTGACAAATAAATTATCAGTCTATAATTTTAATGTAAGGTTTATTTGAACAGTGAGAGACAGAATAACAACAAAAAAATCCAGAAAACGCATGTCAAAAATGTTATAAATTGATTTGCATTTTAATGAGGGAAATAAGTATTTGACCCCTCTGCAAAACATGACTTAGTACTTGGTGACAAAACCCTTGTTGGCAATCACAGAGGTCAGACGTTTCTTGTAGTTGGCCACCAGGTTTGCACACATCTCAGGAGGGATTTTGTCCCACTCCTCTTTGCAGATCTTCTCCAAGTCATTAAGGTTTCGAGGCTGACGTTTGGCAACTCGAACCTTCAGCTCCCTCCACAGATTTGCTATGGGATTAAGGTCTGGAAACTGGCTAAGCCACTCCAGATCCTTAATGTGCTTATTCTTGAGCCACTCCTTTGTTGCCTTGGCTGTGTGTTTTGGGTCTTTGTCATGCTGGAATACCCATCCACGACCCATTTTCAATGCCCTGGCTGAGGGAAGGCGGTTCTCACCCAAGATTTGACGGTACATGGCCCCGTCCATCGTCTCTTTGATGCGGTGAAGTTGACCTGTCCCTTTAGCAGAAAAACACCCCCAAAGCATAATGTTTCCACCTCCATGTTTGACGGTGGGGATGGTGTTCTTGGGGTCATAGGCAGCATTCCTCCTCCTCCAAACACGGCGAGTTGAGTTGATGCCAAAGAGCTCCATTTTGGTCTCATCTGACCACAACACTTTCACCCAGTGTCCTCTGAATCATTCAGATGTTCATTGGCAAACTTCAGATGAGCATGTATATGTGCTTTCTTGAGCAGGGGGACCTTGCGGGCGCTGCAGGATTTTAGTCCTTCACGGCATAGTGTGTTACCAATTGTTTTCTTGGTGACTATGGTCCCAGCTGCCTTGAGATCATTGACAAGATCCTCTCGTGTAGTTCTGGGCTGATTCCTCACTGTTCTCATTATCATTGCAACTCCACGAGGTGAGATCTTACATGGAGTCCCAGGCCGAGGGAGATTGACAGTTATTTTGTGTTTCTTCCATTTGCGAATAAGCGCACCAACTGTTGTCACCTTCTCACCAAGCTGCTTGGCAATGGTCTTGTAGCCCATTCCAGCCTTGTGTAGGTCTACAATCTTGTCCCTGACATCCTTGGAGAGCTCTTTGGTCTTGGCCACGGTGGAGAGTTTGGAATCTGATAGATTGATTGCTTCTGTGGACAAGTGTCTTTTATACAGGTAACAAGTTGAGATTAGGAGCACTCCCTTTAAGAGTGTGCTCCTAATCTCAGCTAGTTACCTGTATAAAAGACACCTGGGAGCCAGAAATCTTTCTGATTGAGAGGGGGTCAAATACTTATTTCCCTCATTAAAATGCCAATCAATATAAAACATCTTTGACATGCGTTTTCCTGGATTTTGTTGTTGTTATTCTGTCTCTCACTGTTCAAATAAACCTACCATTAAAATTATAGACTGATCATTTCTTTGTGAGTGGGCAAACGTACAAAATCAGCAGGGGATCAAATACTTTTTTTCCCTCACTGTATTCACCGCGTGCTATGCATCCAGATCGCAAGGAATGTTACAGCAAGGAATGTTTAAGCAAATGCGTTGGGTGCAATAATTAAACACAGGGCAAACAGAAGCTGCAGGAACAAACATTTGTTTTCTCCAAGCTCAAAGCAAAAAAGCTCAGCAAATATTTACATTGGCAAGAGAATGGCACTCAAACATTCATAAACTTTTCTTAAATGCCTCCCCCCCCCATTAGACGACAAAGATCAAGTGCGATCATCGCTGTTTATTATTACAAGATAGGCCAATTTGTGTTCGGCATCATAACTAAAAGACTAACAGAGCAATTACTAAGGAAGCCGGGGGTACTTGGGCAAAGTGCCAACCTTGGATTGGCCTGCTGCTGCGTAAGTCATGGTGCTGCTTAGTCCAGCAACTATTATTTAAACAACAAAATATTGGCAGCAGGTTGCCTAAGATCTCTCTAAGGCCAGGATGCCAAAGTTGCCGATGATCTCTAAGAAGCGTGAAACCCGCTGTAATTCTCTTGGGAACAATTTCCAATTAAAGTTGAAAGCGTGCATATGTCGTGACAACTCTCGTGAAAGAGAATCCACAACGAAACCGCGCTGCCGATATATAAAGTCGCATTGCCGTTAGGGACCTACCCGACTGGAAAGCGGCCAAACTTATCAAAGGATTACCCACAGACTCGAAGAGATCTTCGCGAGTTCACACATCCGTAGGCTCCCGAAACTTGCCGATGACATCGAAGAGTTGTGAAAGCCGCGCGCGCACAGGGACTGCGAAAGTGAGACGCCTTTTTAACGCAACGCACCGGCATGCGTGTCGCCAAATATAAAAAAACACGTGAGCGGACAACAGCACGAGGCCCCGCGTGCTTGTTGATTTGGGGGAGGAGCCCATTACACTTTGCCAACGAGTTAAAGACCCTTAACCCCCTGCTCCTAATCCTCCTCCCCATCTACGCCAGAAGCTCACACGTAACCACTGCAACGTGCCGAGTGTCTGTTGCAAATGCAATTCTCTTAGACATTTTGGGTGATTTTAAAGTTAATTTATTTGGTATAGCCCTGTGAGCCATTCGGCTCTTGAATCGGGTGCAACCGCAACAAACAAAAAACTAAAACATGAACAAGAAAACATCTTAAAGTGACTATGTGACTATGCAAACAGAAAATCCGGGAAAAAAAGATAAAACTATTCCTGAAATAGCACCGTACACTAACGCTGTGTGTAAAAAAATCCCAGTGGGATGCAAGTCAAACAACAACAACCACAAGACAACTAAGATTAAGGCCATCAGTCTAACTTGGGTGATTTAAGTGGCTGTGTTTTAGTTGTTTTGTACCCCGCCCCGCCCAAATTATTTTCTAATGTTAAAAAAGTATATATTGATGACGTACGTAAAAAAAATGGTCGTGTGTGTGTGTATATATATGAAGAGCATTGCAGACTTTAAATGGGCGAAAATGTAGTCTTCACGGAAATGGCAGGGTCGTGTCAAGGAAAACGAATGTAACGGGGCATTCAGGACACAATGTACCCAGCCCCTGAGCTAAAGACTGCCGTGTTTCCACCACCACCGTCACCGCTGCCAGGCAAAGTTGAGTGGCCAAGTGATGGTCCTGAGCCGTTCCAGGTATCAGCAGCACAGCTTGGGTCAAAATCTCCACCTGCCTCACCCCGGTGAACGTTCTGCACAACTTTGAATGTAGCCTTGGGTTCAATGAGGCTATCCCAATGTCATGATTGGTGATTTTTTTTGTGCAATTCCCTGCCATATATTTGTTGTTCAGCAATTTTTTTTAAAACTAAAGTTGAACGCGTTTATGCATAATTATGCATACTTATGCGCCGTTTTGTCCGTAATAGGCGGAGGGGCCACGATAATTATCGTAAAGATGATCCAAAATTAACAAACATAAAATGTGTCGTATAAAGTTGCGCTGCCTATCGGAGGGTTATTTCCCAATGACGTGGGGACCGCTACAGAGAGCAAAGAGCGCTGTTGCCGAACACGCAAACGCAATTTTACCAGACAGGCACCCCATCGGCTTCCGTACCGCTAATGAAAGATTTTGGTGTGAAGGAATGGGTTTGAAATTGTTACATAATCCATGCGTGCACATTGTCAATCTGATCTCGTTTGACACGTTATATGGTTTGAATTAGTTGAGGGAATCCTCCGACTGTAAATCAAGTTTCCATGCTGACGCCGTGACCTCAAGGCTGCTTGCAAGGTCATCCCAGGTCAAAATGCATCCGCTCCCTTGTGATCCATCCAGCAGTGGATTGGTCATGGAAAATCAGAATTACCAGCGATGGTTCAATACAGCGGTGCGTGCATTTATAGTCGGTGATTAGGATGCCTTCGTTGGAGGGTTGCATCTCTGATTTCCACGCACGCAAAAAAACGGCACATATCATGGAAAGAAAAACAAATATCTCTTAGTACCAGAAAGGCAAATATCTCCCCGTTATTGCGTTACCTTGAAATTGTGTATTACTCATTACGCAAGTGGAAAAGAACAAACAAAAAACCAACCAGCGACTTCGCACGTCCAGAAGAGGACACATTTCCCGTGACAGACGCTTCAAAAGGAGAATAATCTTGGGGAAATCCCAGGACAGGTGTTGGTAACACTGCTGCCCAC